TTCAATCGTTTCAATTGCTATTTGAAAGGTTGGTCATGGATGGTCATGGCAGGTCAATTGGGTTGATTTCTCCATAGGAGCATCGACTTAACCTGTTTGAATAATGTGACTTGTTTTGGCTCACGCTGTTGATAGCGGGGCTGAGTAATTTAGCGATTTTTTGTGTGCTTGATAGATGTTGATTGGGGGTGTGGGGTGGGCTAATAACGTTTTATCCTGTGCGTTCTTCGACGATATATTGTTGCACTTCCCGTAGCAATTTCCATCCCGCCTTTGCATCTACGCTATAAACATATGACACCCTTGTGATGTTACGTTGCTGCGCTTCCCAAAGTAATTTCCATCTCGCTCTTGCTAGTCTCGCTCAGATAAACACTGGACAGAGCATGGCAGCATGGCAGGATATGAAGAAATATGTTCCATCTGAAATCAAAGCCAAAGACAAAACATCGAAAAAGATCAATACCCGGCCCTGGGGCTGGATATTTAGCTGGCAATGGCGTAGGAACCGTCAGGGAGACACGTTGTCTCACATTTCAGAGCTGTTTCACAAAAAGAAGAAAGCTGAAGCTGAAAAACACCAGCACCGCTACCCACGGCGTGACGGTGTGACCTTGCTTTCTGCATGGGGTTATAAACCAAAACAAGAACAGGTGACCTGGTGGGCCCCTTCCTGTATACATCAGCCATGCTGTTCAGCCTCCAGGATCCCACGACCACGTGAAGGCCGGCATTTTGGGCAACTCCTCGTCGTTGGACGATCCCATGTGCAGCACTAGCATCGGCGTGAGAAGTTTGGTCTCCACGCAGGAGATGGGGGGGCAGAGGCTTGGTTTCTTTTTTGTTGATAAATTGTAACGGTAAATATATATTTCGAACACATCAAATATGAAACATCATGAAACACCTGTATGAATCCCTTATAAGAATTCCGTTTCCTTCCAAGACTATTAGGGACAAGTATGCCCAGAAAGTTGATCGCACCAAGGTTCTGGGGAATGTCCTGTTGATCCAGTTTTGCAGTGGCGCACTAGTCGGTAAAGCTATGTTTGCCCGAAATGATCGAAACCACTGGATGATCGAGTTTTCTTGGATTGCATTGACAGCTGTTCATTCATGCGCAAAGAATTTGGAAGATCTTTTTCTTAGTTTGATGGCGGAATGCTCCCCATTAGAACTTCTTGCTGACTCGATTCCAAACCTTCCGTGTTTGGGAACTTTAAGGTCATATCACTAGGAATTTCATGCCCTTAATAAACCCTTTGGAGGGGTCACTTTTGGAGGGGTCACTTTTGGAGGGTTGGTTGTTTCACGATGATTGTTCTTTCAGGTAAATTCAGTCTGACCGCCTCCATGAGTGTTTCAGGTTCGATTTTGTGCTGCTGCTTCTCGGTTGCCTACTGTTGGTGTACAATGTCACGGTACACATTGGTTTATCAATATACATACATTTCAGTGTATCCCAGTTGTAGTAGTGCAAGAACAATGTCTTGCTTCAATCAATCTCAAATGAAAGGCCCAATATAGGGGTCATCCCAGTGCCTCACCCGTGCAGGAGAATAAGTTTCACATCAGACGCTCGGCTGTTCAGTGGAAAATCCATAGAAGTTGAGTGAGTTACCCGATCATTCCCAGCTACAAGAGTGGACTGGCCATAGATCATGCTTACAAACAGCACGTTACCTTGGTTGACCGCCACCGTGGCATATATATATATTGTTCCTTCGGTACGGTTTGGCGTTCGGAACGCACGTTTTAAAAACTTGCGTTCCGGAACGCGCGTTCTGAGTGGATCCTTTTTCCAATTATCAAAGTTAATGTATTTCCTGGGCCTGGACACTGAAACCTTTTTCCCCCCAAATAAAAAAGGATTTTGAGAGCTCTTATGGGCTCAAAATGGTGGATGAATCCACCAGAAAGTTGATCTTCCCAACTCCGGATCCTTTTTGACCGAAGCGAAAAAGGTTCTGGCCTCACTAGGTTTGTGGGGCAAGTTAGGTTTCCTTCCCGGATCCTTTTTTCTCTGAAAGAGAAAAGTTCAAACCTTGAACAAAAATCAGCGTACTGCTATTAACAGAGGTCAAAGAAGGCTTTGAAAAACAGTTGAAAAATTCTATGTGACGCAGCGGATCCTTTGTGCAAGGAGAAAAAAGGATTGGGAGGCTTCTGGAGCCAAAACCCTTGCGTTCGGAACTCGCGTTCCGGAACACTCGTTTTGCGTTTTGCGTTTTGACCGTGCTAAGATATATACACATATATATTTATATATGTCATATTTTCTGGCATGCAGTCTGACAAATTATTTGGCATATTATTTGTTGACATTCTATTCGACATTTTTTCTGAAGTATTTATTTGACACAGTGACTCACATGTATTCTGACATTATGTTTGACACTTTTATCCACATGTATTGTGACACTTGTATCTCACTTAATCTCACATAATTATATTTCATATGTTCTGACATTCTATTTGGCATATATTCTGATATTTCTGATATCATATCTGGCATATTTTCTTACATTCTGTCTGAATATATCTGAATTTTATCTGACATTCTATCTATTTGGCATCCTGGTTGACATGTATTCTGACCTTCTTTCTGGAATTTGATCTGGTTTCTCTCTGGCGCTCTATTGCGCACTCTATCTGGCACTTGATCTGACATTGCATCTGACATTGCAGCTGGCATTCTATTTGACATTGCATCTAGCTATTTGGCATTCTGTTTGGTATTCTATCCTGCATTTTATTTGGCATGGGGTTCGGTTCCGGCGCGTCCGCTCGCCATTGTGTTCGGGTCCGGCGGGGGGCAAGAGCTGGCTCGCCATAGACTGGCTGTGTATAGGCTGGTGATGACGTGCTAACGAGGAAACTGGTGTGCACGTGTGTCTCCATGCGTCCGTTCGGGCGGAATGTATTGTTAAACTCTGTAGAGACCCTCACCTGGCAGTTGGGGAAAAACTTCAAACACCTCTGATGGAACATTTGGCCAGGCCGAACTCTTGGCTTAGCTTCATACCACTTGGGCCAGGAAGTCGCGTGGTTTTGGTGCAAAACCAAAACCTCTTTCCCCACCAATTTATGGTATATATATATTATTAGATCATGATAAATCTGCATAGCATAGTTAATAAACGAACTTATGGCTGGGAAATATTTGGGTTGGTTTCTCTCCCCTATGATATAGTGACCCAGGTTAAGAAAGTTTGAGATATGACCTTGTTTTAAATGATTTTGGTCAAGATTGTGAAAATTATCCAAAGTCCCAGGTATTGGTGTGGTTGCCGGGAGCAAGAACACGATGGCGACCTTTTGGACGTCATCACCACATATCAACACAACTGATGGTCCAGACACATGAGAACAGTAGGAACGGAAAATGTTCTAAAATGGCACAATGATACACACACACAAAGCGAGAGAGAGAGAGAGAGTGAGATAGATTATACGGTAAGGACATTTCAATATGTGGAGTGCGGGCCAGACCACGAGGCCCCGGAGGAAGTATGAAATACATTGAAATACCAGTTCGTATATTTACAGTAAATGTAGATACCGTATGTTTAAATAAATTGGATTCCGTATGTTTAAATGGCCATGCGGGCCAAGGAAAACCTTCCCGGAGGTAGTCTAAAATACCTGTTAGTATATTTAAAAGCCCGTATATTTAAATGTATTATAATTATATATATATATATGGCTGTGTCTTTTTTTCAGGTGTGCAGATTTTAGTAAGGGTGGGAAGTTCGAGTTCTGCGAACCATACCCACGAATCATACCCCGAACCATACCCCGAATCATACCTGCGAATCATACCCCCAAAAATCACGATTATGAATGTTTCTTTTGGGATCGTTTGGGATTGCATGGCCTCACTAGTTTTAATGGACGTGACAAGCCAATTGACAAGTGTTGGCCAGATCCGATGATCCCTGGCTGCCTTCACATACCTTCACGACATGAGTGGTGAGGCTGGCTGGCTGGCTAGGTGGCTGGCTGCGTGGCTGGCTAGGCTAGGTGGCTACGGCAATTGCTGCTGCTGGTTGGGTGGCTGGCTATAGGGCTGGCTAGTTGCGGCTGGCTGGCTGCGTGGCTGGCTGCTTGCTGTGTTGTCTGCTATTAAGTAGCAGTTGTGGTAGGTTGACGGTGGGAAAAAGAGACTCAAGCAACAAAGCTTCCTGAATTCCAAAAAAACATGGGTTCCCGAACCATACCCCGAATCATACCCGAATCATACCCGAATCATACCTCAAACTTCCCAATTCTGAACCTTGGTACATTTGCAAGATCAGAACTTGTGTTTTGTGAGCATAAATCTTTTTCTTTGCAACCATTCGCCACGGGCTACACTACGCCTCCTGCTGCTTCTGAGAAAAATCCGGGAACGGCACCCTGCAGTGGCATCCTGCGATGGCACCAACATGCCAACTCCAAAGCGCACACACCACTTTGACTGCAGCACCTTGAAGCAGCACCCTGCAGCAGCACCACCAGCCAGCTCCAGAGCGGACACGCCACTCTAACAGCTGCACCCTGCAGCGTGCAGCACACCCTTCACTAGCACCATTGCACGCAAAATCGATCCCAGGGCCATTGAGACCCATATACTCCATGCATGATATAGATAGCATTAATTAGCAACATTCTGATGTTTTTGGGATTTTGGGACTAAGTATAGGTACATAAAGGGCCGCGAACCATACCCCCGAACCATACCCCCGAACCATACCCCGAACCATACCCCGAATCATACCCACGAATCATACCCCCTAGTCAAACTTCCCGGGCCGCACTCCTCATTTTGAGACATACCCATATATATAAATCTTTATACAAATAGAAATTGGAATGCTACATTGATTTTGTTGTGCGGTATCATAAGTATGTTTATTACCATTTGTGTTTTTTGTATAATATTATGATAATATTATGTATACTATATATTTATTAAATATAATATGTTTGTACGTGTTATCTTTTTCTGGGCCCCTCAGGTGCCGGGACCGGACTTAGCGATGATCTCAATGAAGACGAGGAACATGAACGAGGCGACCGAGCTTTTTGCGAAAGCGAATGCACTGGAGATCCGGGGATGATTTTTTCATCAACATTGATCAACAAGATGGGGACAGGAGGAAAAATACCATGACTAAAACCTTAGACTTTTTGTGATGCCGTAGGAAAAAAATGAAGGTTTTCAGTAAACCGGATTGAAGTAAATGCTTCTTTGGCCGTAGGTTGGGGATGGTTGTGGTATCATGCTCAGCCGTGTTTTTGCAGGGTACTTAAGGTGAGCAATGGCAGGGCCCAGGATGAAGACTGAAGTCATGTTTTCCCATAGAAAGCATCTCTTTTCTAAGGGTCCTGTTAATCATTCAATTTTTAAGAATCCTGGGCTGGCAGCATGGTGAATGAATTGTTCGTTCTATGCTGCCACTTTTGAGCAAAACGGAAGTCATTACTGGCATTTCAATCCCTATGTTTGCTTAACTTGGGGTGGTGAAAGTCTTTATTGGTGCTCGTTAAAATCCATCAAAATCACACATTTTCCTCGCAAAACCATTGTTTCTTTAAGATTCATGTCTGCTAAACACATGTTTTTTCTCCGACGAAAAACGTATCACCACATTTTGTTTTTTTTCCCCTTGTTCCTTTTCCCCCTTGTTCTTTCTGACGGTTAAGGCAGTGAGCAGGACCCGGAAAACAACGAGCTCTTGGCCGGCGCGATGGCGCATCGCACCAAGGAACAGGTCGAGGCGGTGCGCAATCGACTGCGTTTGCGGCTGGGGGCCACGTCCTCCAACAAACTGGTGCCCTGGCAGCGTGATTTGCAACAGCAATGCTGATTTTTGTAGGGAATTATAGGCAAGTCACCATCCAATACCATCAGCAGTAGGGACTCAACTCATATTTAATATATTGTATTGTTATTTTCCTGGGGTAGTCGGTGAGATTTTTGGGATGGATATATATATATATATATATATTTAGTACATATATAGTATATATATATATGTGTGTGTGTGTTCCAATCGAAACTCCACGAATCTGGGGGAATCGGGAACATGTTTAGGAAGCTTTTGGAGCTTCCTTAAGCAATTCACAACTAACAACTTGGATGGTAATGGTCCAATGGTTGTTTCAGCGTGGATGCGAATGTGATTCCAATGAGTTTTTGGTGCAATTCAATGGATGTTCAGTGAAATTAGTTGGATCTAGATTTAGACGGGGGTTGATGGAAGTTAATAGATTTCACGTGATTTCAGCAACAAAACCAAGAACTATAAAAACTTTGGATTTTACCAATGTCTAATGGGTTTCCATGTGTTTTAATGGACTTCAGAAGAACCGCAGCATAAATATGGATTTTCATGGATGCTCATGGATTTTGTATATTTAATATTGAGTTGATTCCGCCAGCAGCTTGGGGATTTAACTAACACACTTTTAGGATTCGCACTAGCAGAAATTCGGTGATCAAACTGTTTGGTGGTGAATGGAGGGAGCTGTTCGGAGCACTGGTTGAAGGCTATGGCTATATCATATATCAGTAAATTATATCCATACCTTCTGAAATATATCAAATATGTATCCCAAGAGTTTTCCAACCACTTGAAAGTTGAACTGATTCTGCCATCAAAATTATTGATCGAACAATGACAAATTGATTAAACAGGTTCTTACCATCAATTATGCAAGAGACCCCAAACAGTGTGCAAGAAGGATCTTTTGAAATAATGGTGAAAAGCTTAGGTGCTGCAAGGGCAAAAAGAGATACCAGGTCAGATTCTGCAAGTTCCCTTTCCCTTTGCGAAGATCTCTGTAGAAGATCGTGTGCAAGATCTCCTTGACAGGTTCTGTGTAGAAGCTGCTGTGCACGATGCCTTGGCTGGGCTATTTGTACAAGGTGTCTATAAGATATCTCCACCGAAGATCTCTGCAAGAGATTTCAAAGTAAGGTCTCTGTTCAAGCTCTCTATGAAGATCTCTGAGCAAGATTTCTGTTCTCTTCACCGGGTCTCTGCCCAAGATCTTTGCAAGAGGTCTGGCAAGATCTTTGCCTCCAAACAGCATCTCCCGGCAAGATCTCTTACGGAGACCTTCATGCTCCCTATAAGAGGTCTCTTGGCAAAATCACTTGAAGAGATCCCTGCACAAGCTCTCTGTAAGAGCTCTCTCGGCAAGATCTCTGTAAGAGACCTTTCGGATCCTTTCGGCAAGATCTCTGCACAAGACCTCTATAAGAGGTCTCTGCGCAAGATCTCAAAAAGAGGTCTTCGTGGCAAGGTTCTGCGCAAGCTCTCTATACAAGATATCCTTGCCAAGATCTCTGCATAAAATCTCCTTGATTATCAAAATGAGCACCGCGCCACAACGAAAGATTTCTGACACGCACAAAGTGCCGAGAAGGTTCCGCGAGCGATAACAAAATTAGCACCGCGCCACAACGAGAGCGATCCGACACGCCCAAAGTCACGAGAGGGTTGCGCGAGCAATGTTAGATTTTCAACAATGCACCACGATAAGTAAACATTGAAAATGTAAGAAACGATGTACTACCTGGGTTTCAGCCGCTTTTTGTCAAGGTTTCAAAGTAGTGCGCTTGCCACGAAAATCTAACCCGAGACATCCGAAGTGCTGCACCTGGGACACAGAATCATCATCATGTCCCAAAAATGACGACAGCTTCAGAAAACGATCCTGTTGACCCTTTCAAAACGGCATCCACAAGTTCACCAAATACTGTGCCTGCCACGAAAAATTGGATAATTCACAAGTTATTTCGTATATTCAAGTATATAAACTTCCATTTATAGGGGATGTCCAATTGCCATGATGGTCTTTATGTAACCTCGGGTGTTATTGTTGAACCAAGTGATATCAACCAATATTGGTCCAGGTAGGATCTGATCGCATCAATGCATCAGAACCAAACATGGTTCTTGCTAAGGCAATGATGATGCATCCTATGAATATAGAGCATGGCTTATCCAGCCAAATGACTGTTTGATACGTGAACATATGACAAAAAATATAACTGATATTTTGCGCGTGTGCATTTTAAAACAGATTTAAGAACCAATCATTTTGTTGCCATACCCTACTTTTCCTTCTTGTAAACGTTTTGGGGTACCGTGAGATAGGAACCAGGGGAAGGGTGAACTGGAAGATAACCATCCAAGGACGCAGCCTGCTATCAGGTACTCTCGTGTACTGTATATATTATTATTATATACGGTCCTACCGGCCTATAATTTTGATTTGGGTGACGAGCAGAAACATGGGCTCATTGCTTCATTGACTAGCAGCATATTAGCAGCCGATGGGCAACCTGCTCCTACTATTTCCTACTTGTCCTACCTTCCTATGCTTCACTCGTCTCCAGGTCTCGGGGAGGCGTTTGCTGGAAGCAGTGCAGTCCTTGGGTTTGACAAAATACACCGAAGAGGACATGAACCTTGGTCGCCGTTGGGGCAACCGGCCGGTGGCAACTTTTAAGGCATTGTTTTTAGGCACTGTTTTTTGTAGGGATGCATGTTTTTTGGACCTGGGCACCCTTTTTTTGGACCTGTACATGTTTTTTGGACCTAACCAGATTTTTTTTTGGACCTAGGGTCACAAAAAATGTGGGGGATTTGCTTGTGTGTTTTCTGGACCCTGTGGGGATTTTTTTTTTTCGACCTGCATGTATTTGTGCTGGACCCAGGGATTTTTTTTCGACAGCCAAATTAATTGTTTCTGAGCTCGGTTTCTGTTTTTTTGGACCCGTGCACCTGCTTCGCGGACCTTGCCTCCACAGGGTGGGGGGGGGAAACTCCATTGTTATAGGCGCTCACATTGGGCTGGATGTTTTTGGATCTTGGCGCCTTCTTTTTTGGAACCCGTGCGCGTTTTTTTGGACCTGGCACAGGGTGGGGGGAATTTAGATGCTGAGACAAGATGCATGCAAGAAGTTGCTGATGTCGGGGAAGTTCCGGTATTGAAAGAATGAAAACGTAAGATGTGGTGGAGAGGCCAATGGGGTAAGTCTACGTATGAAGCGAAATGGATGCAGGAAATTGACGGGCAGATAGGGGAAAGGGAAAGTTCGATATTGAAACAGGATGAGCGCAAATAAGTATATAGTTGTTGAGAGATGAGGGGTGAAGCCTAGACACGGAAACGAAATAAAGATACATGAAGATACATGCAAAAGATTGCTGAGAGACGCAGGGAGAATTTTGGGACCCGAAAATGAATGCCGGAAGAGGGTCGGGGGAATTTAGATATTGAGACAAGATGCATGCAAGAAGGTGAAACGGGGGAACATGTAGATATTGAAGCCAGGTGCCCGCAGAAAATTGGTGAGAAAGAGGCAAGTGGGAGAGGGGAAAGTTAGACATCGAAACAATCATACAAGGATGAACGCAAGAATAAGTTGCTGAGACGAGAAGCGGAAGTCTAGATATTGAACCCAAATGACGGTGCATGCAAGGAGCTGTGGAGAGACGAGGGCTGAGATATTGAAACCGCATGAATGCGGGAAGCTGTGGTGAGGCACAGGTGGGGAGGACTTTAGGAGGCCACGGTGGAGCCAGATATAAAACCAAATGAAAGCAGGAAGTTGTCAAGGGGCACCGGGAATATTGAAGCAAGATGAATGCAGGAAGCTGTTGTGGGGCACCGGGGGGGAAGCTTAGATATTAAAACAAAATGAACGCAAGAAGTTATGGGGAGACTGCGGGGGAAGTATAGATATTGAAACCCAATGAATGCAAGAAGTTTAGGAAGTTTGATGAGAGGCACCGGGGGGAAGTTAGATATTGAAACATATTGAAACCAGATGAGCGCAAGAAGTTGTTGAGAGACAAGGGGGGAAGCTTAGACATTGAAACCAAGTTGAGATGCATGCAAAAAGTTGTTAAGAGGCCGGAGGTGAAGTCTTGAGACCAAGGGAATGAATGCAGGAAATTGGTGAGAGGCACAAGGGGGGGGAAGTTTAGATATTGAAGCCAGGTGAATGCTCCCAAGTGGGGCACAGAGGTGTGAAGAGTAGAAGTTGGGAAGAAGAGGGCAGAATGGGAAGGAGGTGG